GAAGCCCTGGGACTAGAAGTGACCAATATCAATGTCTTGAAGGATGAGAGTGCTGAAGCAATTTTTTAGGAGTTCAAGGACGTCTTCGGCACTGGTCTGGGTAAGTATGTGGGAACTTTAATCTCTTTTAATTTGGACCCCAACATAGCCCCCATAAGGCTAAAACCCAGGAGAGTACCTTTCGCTCTCCACCCAAATATTGATCTGGAAATTGACAAGCTTGTAGGCCAGGGAATCCTAGAGCCAGTTGATCAGGCATGCTGGGAGACCCCTATAGTGACACATGTCAAATCTGACAGGTCTGTCTGCATCTGTGCGGACTACAAATGCACAATCAATAAAGCTTTAAACAAAGCGCTTATCCTGTACCCATTGTATAGCATTTATTACATTCCTTAGGCCCCGTCAAAGTATTAGCTAAATTGGACATGGTGCAGGCATACCAACAATTGCCTGTAGATTGCGCTATGGCGGAGGCCCAAACCATTGTGATGCACAGTGGTATATTCTAATGTCACCGCCTGCAATTTGGAGTTAGTTTTTCCCCTGGACTGTTCCAAAGCGTCATGGAACGGCTTTTGCAGGGGATTCCAGGAGTCAACCCCTATTTTGGCGACATCTTGGTATCGGCTGCAAATGAGGCGCAACTTTTGAAATGTTTGCAAACTGTTTTGACCAGAATTCGAGACAAAGGCCTCCGTCTCAAAAAAGGAAAATTCCAAATTAACGTGCCAAGGGTTGAATTCTTAGGGTACCTAATCGACGGCTCTGGGATTCACCCGACCACTAAAAATATTCAAGCAATCCAGGGCACCCCTACACCTTGCAATCAAACCGAGCTGCAGGCGTTCCTCGGGCTCCTTAATTTCTACAGCATCTTTCTTAAACAGAAAGCCACCGTTGCTGAGCCCTTACATCATCTCCTGGCGAAGAACACAAAGTGGTCCTGGGGCAGAGCCAAGGCTGACGCATTAAAAAGACGTCTGTCAGCAGACACGTTCCTGATGCAGTACAGCCAAACCCTGCCACTGGTGTTGACTTGTGACGCTTTCCCATTTGGCATCAGAGCTGTCCTCAGCTATCGCATGCCCAATGAAACCAAGGCTCCCATAGCCTATTACTCAAGGACCTTGTCCGCTGATGAGCGGAACTACAGCCAGCTGGACCATGAGGCTTTGGCTGCAGTGGCCGATGTAAAAAAGTTCCATGACTACCTCTACGGCCATGATTTCGAACTAATTACGGACCACAAACCGCTTTTGGGCTTGCTGGCTGGGGACCGACCTACTTCTGTGTCATTATCACCGTGGATGACCAGATGGACCATTTTCCTAGCTGCCTACTCCTACTGTCTCATCCACTGACCTGGCTCCACTTTGGGGCATGCCAACATTTTGAGTCGCTGGCCGCTGCAGACCCTACCCCTGAGATGCCAGTCCTGCTTATTGACTGTTTAGAGACTGGTCCTGTCTCATCTAGTGATGTTGCCCGCCACTCTGTGAAAGACTCCACCATCAAACAAATTTTGAACTGGGTGTGGAGGGGTGGCCCAATGGGCCTGTTGGGTCTGATTTCAAAATGTACTATTGTAAAAGAGATGAATTGTCTGTTATTAATGGCTGTTTGCTGTGGGGGGACCAGGGTCATTGTTCCACCCAAACTGCACATTGCAGCATTAGAGGCTTTACATGTAGGGCATCCTGGAATTGTCAGGATGAAGTCTTTGGCCAGAGTTACGTGTGGTGGTCTAACATGGAAGGGAGATCGAAGGTGGCTATCTGCACACCATGCCAGGAGTCCAGACCAGCTTCCCCAGAGGTGCCCGCTAAAGAGTGGGAGTGACCTCAAGCACCATTGTCTAGGTTGCACATTGTTTTTGCTGGCCCTGTTCATGGCTAGACATTCCTTGTAGTTGTGGACGCCTACTCGAAATGGCTAGAGGTAGTCCTGATGACCTCCACTACGGCAGAAGTGGTCATCAAGGTACTGCAGAGACTTTTCTCCATGCATGGCCTACCCGACATCCTGGTCTCTGACAACGGGCCCCAATTCATGGCCATGCAATTTGAGACCTTCTTAGCAGCACAGGGAATCAGNTATATTGACTATATATAAAGTAATTCTCCCATGGCACACCTTACACTATGTCACGGCACACTAGTGTGCCATGGCACAGTGGTTGAAAAACACTGCCCTAGGGGCATGTGCTCAACCCTGTTTCTAAGCCAAGGAGCCAGTGCTGTCCGAAGATGTCTCCGTGGTCATGTGGCCAGCATGACTCCGTGGTTATGTGACTGGCAAAAGTGCATGGAACATTGTTACCTTCCCACCAAAGATGGTTCCTATTTTTCTACTTGCATTTTTACATGCTTTTCAAACTGCTAAGTTGGCAGAAGCTGGGACAAGTAACTGGAGCTCACTCTGTTACACAGTACTAGGGATTCGAACCGCTGAACTACCAACATTCTGATCAATAAGCTCAGCGTCTTAGCCACTGAGCCACCACATCCCTTAAATAGCTACAAATAGCGACACTATAACAAAAGTAGTTAACATCAGAGGTGGGTTCCTACCAGTTCGCACCTATTCGGTAGAACCGGTTAGAAGAGGTTCCACCAGTGGATCCAGAAAGCAGGCCACACCTACAGAAGAGGTTCCAAAAAATTTTGAAACCCACCACTGGTTAACATGCTAATTAATTCATAGCACCTTTTTTTGGCCTCAGAGAAGCATTAAAGGGGTTATTGACTCTAGGAAGGTACAAGAAAGTCCAGCATTTCTCAGCCTTGGTAGCTTTAAAATGGGTGGACTTCAATTATGTGGCTGATTTGGAATTAAAGTCAGCTTGTTAGCTAAGTGCAAGCTGAGTACAGGTAGTGCTCAACTTATGACCACAATTGAGCCCAAAATTTATGTTAAATGAGAAATTTGTTAAGTGAGTCTTGCCCTATTTTACAACTTTTCTTGCCATATTTGTTAATGAATTACTGAAATTGTTAAATTAGTAACAAGGTTGTTAAGTGAATCCATTGATTTTGCTTGTCAGAAAGTTGAAGAAAGTGATCACATGACCCCAGGACACTGCAACTGTCATAAATGTGAATCAGTTGTCAAGCATCTGGATGTAAATCATGTGACGATGGGGATGCTGCAATAGTCATAAGTGTGGGAAATGGTCGTAAGTCACTTTTTCAGTGCCATTGTAACTTTGAATAGTCACTAAGCAAGCTATTGTAAGTCAGGAACTACCTGCATTATGGATTTTATTGACATGTATGTGTGAATATGACATATTTGCCATGTATAGTGAATCAAGATGCTAAGAAAACTAGTATTCACAGAAAAGTATAATTTTAAAGGAGCAGATAAGGAAAAAAAATAGAATTTGCTAATATATATTTTGGAATTATTAGTTTAGCAGTGATCAACCATATTTGTTTCATATGCTAAGATTGCCTTGTGAAGAAGTACTTGCATATTGTCCATAATATCGCAACGGCTCTACTGTACCTGATAAATATTTGCTGCTGAAAACACACAAATTGACAGTGAAAAAAAAAGCATGGTCAATATTTTAGTCAGCCTTTTCTTGCAACTAATGAAAATAATATTCTACTTATCATTTAAGAAACGTAATTTTAAGGTCTATGCTTAAAACTTTAATTTAGCTGAAATTGTTACTTTTGGGTTCTCAACAAATATAGGGATGTTAGTTCTAACTAAATCAGAAGAAATATCTATTGAAAGGGAGGAGAAATTGACCTTTTTTTATTTACAGCTGCTGAAATATATTCTCTGGTGGATGATAAACAAAATAAACCCCATGAAATGCAAAAGAAAAATACAACGATATCTTCAAAGACATTATAGAAGGTATAGGGGATAGATCTAACTGTACCAATATAGCCATTTCATGCAAGGAATTAGAATTACCTTATAAAATATTATGGGCTTACAATTCTAGAATGGTAAGATAAAGAAAAATGTTTAACCTAGTTGGATAACCAGATTTTTTTTGTATTTCTTCTTGGCAATTGTTAAGTTTGGAGTGTTATGTGGCAAGTGTTTGTATTATAATATTTTATTCCACCTTTTTATATATTTTGTTCAACTCAAGGTATTGAACATACTAATTCTATTTTCCCCACAACAGAAATCATGTGAGCAGGTTGGCTAAAAGAGAACTAACCCAAAGTCTCCCAGACAGCTTTCTTGCCAAAGGGATGCCTAGAATTCACCTTGTCCTGGATTCTAGGCCAGCCCTTTCTCCACTACATAAATTGGTTTTTATATTAAATGCATGACATGATATTATTAACATTTGAAGAATTCCTACACATGTTAATCCTATCAAAGGGCTAAAGAAATTGCAATATTCTTTTTCTATTTCTCAGAGTATCAGGCACAAGACTGAACAGGTCTTTGAGGGCATGATTCACTGTGGCAAAGGCCTGAATGTGGCAGACATTCAAAGTTTCTGTAGCAAAATGAAATCGCTGTTCTTCTTCTCATTACTTGCAAGTCTGGAAGGAGACTGAGGCAATGTGAAATGCTTTATTGAGACAAACTGGAGCATTCTGAAGCTTTTTCAGATAGGATTCCAATTATGAATGTATATGAAAAAATAATGTTTACCTCTATTATTTTAAATTATAAAACGATTAATGCCTCAAAGAAAGAGGCATCTGAGTACATTTCTTCATCTGAGTACTTTTCTCTGCTATATTTAAACTTTCTGCCCTATTTAGGGTTTTTTATTTTAGATTTATGTTGTTATTTCACATAATCTCAAAAGCTCTGCACAGTTGAAATGAATTTTAAATGATGCAACTTGATCTTAATCGAGGCTTTGTGTCATGACATAAAGAATAGTTTTGAAGACACGGGTGGATCAGGTCATTTTAAGCACCAAGGGGCCCTCGCTTCTCCAACTGGGCACTGCCACGCCCTTCCTCTTTCTGCATACAGCCTACTCAATTAATGCATGCATCAGATGGTGGGATAGGCCATCCTGGCCATAGCATGATATTGCTGCACTGGTGAGTGGCAAGCGTCTCCCAGACTAGGCAAGCTGGCTGCCTCATCATGAGTGCCATCTGCATGAAGATGCCATTGCCATACTTCAGTCCCTGGAAATAGCTTCAGTATCTGGCCCTGTACTTTATGCTGTGTCTTTGTCCACATACTTTTGCCACAAATGGAATGATTATTACTTGGTGAGGACAGGATTGTTGTGGCATGATCCCTTCTGTAGAGATGAGGACTGAATTTATATCTTGTTGGTTTCTCAGTCACTCTAAAATGGGCTAGAGCTAGAACCTGTTTGATATTGTGAGATCTACATGCTTTCTACTCTGTGGCAGAATCTATGATGCGTCATAGAATTGTTGCATTGAATTAAACCTGAGAACAGACAGCTGGAGGGAAGAGCCAAGGTGGAATCCAAAAGGACAAAGTGGAGACTTAATGAATTCCTTTCCAGCTTAGTTTAGATTTAGAAGGATCTGCAATGATTCAGCCTGCCAATCATTTCTGATATAATTAACACCTCTTGTAAAGGAGTACAGAAATAGCTTTGAAGAAGATACGTTACAACTATTACAAAAATATTCACTAAGCCTAGAAAAATAGCAAGGGATGAAGAAAAACAGTTCCAGACTGGCCCACCTTGACTCTCTTAAGTGTAAGAGCAGAGGTGGGTTGCTCCCGGTTCGGCCCAGATCAGATGAACCAGTAGTAGCGGCAGAGGGAGGCTCTTCCCCTGTTCTGCCCCCCTGGAAGTTTCTATGCACGCACAGAAGTGTCACACGAGCGTGTGAATGTGCATAGGCACATGCCCAAACCAGTAGTAAAAAAATTGGAAATCCACCACTGTGTAAGAGGTGAGAAACAAAAAATTTATCATTCAAAATTCTATTACTTTAACCATAGAGTTTTAGTATTGCTTGTAATAATGTTTTTTTTTAACTTGGTCTACTTTGAAGTACCAACACCTTTCTTTGGGAAGATTGATAGACTAATTACTATTTGTGCCATCAGGTTGTTTTTAACTGCTAACCACATAACTAGATTTTCTCCATTATGATTTATCCCTAACCTGTTCTTTAGTTTTCCCAATAATACACTGTTAGATACTAGCTTCAGTTATAATGGTTTCCACCAAGGTCCTCTGTTCCAGCGGGAACAGAGGTTTAATCTCA